AGCCCCGAGCCTCGACCCGTCAGTCCCTCTGGCGGTCTGTACGACACCACGGCACGCACACTTCTGTGTGCTGTTGTCCAGCGCGTTATAACAACCAACATGAACCACACTCTTCGGATATGAGCCAAGGCTGACATTTGTCTCTTTCCGTTCTCGTTCTGCAGTGTGATCGCCTGCAGCCCGGATGTACCCAGTGCTCCCGGAAGCAGATAGTTTGCCCCGGCTACAGGGATCCTTCGGAATTCTACTTTAGAGACGAAACCGCCAACGCTGCTTTTAAGGTCCAGAACAGGAAACCAAGGAGGCGTTTGCCCGCCAAAACGAAGCAGCAATCGAAATCAGTGGCGGAAGCAGATGCGCAGAAGCAACATGCAGGTTCGAGCGGTACTCCAACCATAGCGGCCACACCAAGGCAAGCTGTTGGGGCTTTGGTCAATCACTGGTCTCCATCAAGTTCATCGTCCTCAAGTCCACCGTCCGACGGTGAGGTGGTTCGCTATCGAACAATCTCGTCGCCTATCAAGGATTTAGCACGCACTTATTTCATGACCGACTACATAGCGACTTCGCCATTTGATTATCTACCTGAACTCTGCCCTTATGGATTGACAGGAAACGATGCCATGTCAGCGTCAATACTGGCTGCCAGCTTTGCAAGTCTGTCGCTGAAGATATCGGATCCAAAACTCATGAAGCAGGCTAGAGTCCAATACGCCAGCGCACTATGTCAAACGAATCAAGCACTTAGCTCTCCGAAACTTGCCGTCGAGGATAGCACTCTAGCTGCCGTTCTGCTCCTGGGACTGTTCGAGGCCATCGTCTTTTCCGGCCAGCAGTCTATGGATAGCTGGAACCAGCACACGCTTGGATCCGTAGAGTTGTTACGCCTGCGTGGAAGTCAGCAATTCGAGACCCCCCTCGGCCGCAAGCTTTTTGTTCACTCTGCGAATAACATCCGCACGAGTTGCGCGCACAGTAAAACACCTGTCCCGACCCGATTCATAACGCTTTACGATGATGCGCAGCCGTATCTTGATCACAACGATCCCTTCCTCAGAGTCACCCCTATTCTCGACAGGGTCGCCATGCTACGGTCAAGAATAGCCTATTTGGAGGACTCAGAGAGACATGAGGTTCTTGTCGAAGCTCTGGATCTGGACGCGGCGACAGCGAAGCTTGGGCAGGAAGTCTCGGCAGAGTGGAGGTTCACGGCAAGGAACCCGTATGAGAAGGCACCAATGACATACAAGGGAATATCTTTCCGCTATCCTTCCCTTCGAGCGTTGCGGTACTGGAACTCCTTAAGGATCATTCGCATGTTTCTCAACGACCTTATCTGGATGCAGGCATCCTTAATCCTCGCTCAGGGGCCGACATCAGCCAGTGTAGGCTACTTTGCCATGCAGGAGGCCGCGACGCGGAAAATGTCAACTCTGGTGGTCGAGGTACTCGCCAGTTGTGGCGAATATCTAGAGACAACGGAAGACCGATTTTCCGTGACGGCGAGATGCTTGATCTGGCCATTATCGGTCATTGCTGAGATATCCATCACGCCCCCAGACGCCCGGCGATTCGCTCTCGACTGCTTGGGCCGGCTGAGCCGCGACGGCCGTATCCCACGACCGATTGAAGTCGCAAACACAATGATGGGCCTCCAGGCAGACTGGTAAGTGCTTATCTCACCTGTCACACTGCTCGAACCATTCTTGTTGAGGTCTCGCCCAGGTTTTACATGTATCTTCTTGGATGAAACCTGTGAATATCTGTATCATTTCCAGTATTGACTGGTGTACAGCTCAACTCACACATAAGTCAGATGGACCTGGATTGGAAGTACGTATACAATACCTTGACTTCAATGCCAACGGTTGCCGGGAGTTGTTGGCAAGCCACAATATGGCTTGCAACCGGCTCAAGACTACTGCAATTTCTCGATTGAGAGAACTATCGGTCACTCGCACCTGTGTCGATAGTAGGCCAGTGTCGAATGTTAATTGCCAAGGTTGCGCGCAACACAGCAGTGCACCATGCACATTGCTGAGAATAACGAAACATACAGGTTTTGCTCTTGGTAGGTCATTTTCGAAGGCAACCGATGTTAAGGCAGGGTCAAAGGGAGTTCGCTAACTATTCCATAAAAGATATCGACCGTGGATTCAGGAAGCCGAGAACATCTCTCATTCCTTCCACTGGTGGCCATTTGCTCCATTCGTGCGCCCCTCATATTGGTAGCGCTCCTCAAGCTTGAAGTACTTGTTGAAACCGACCCCCTCGCAAACCTCAGCGTAGGACAGAATCGTCGGGGGCTTTCCCACGAGGAAGGAACCTTTCAACGCCTCTAAAGCCTCGCGAATACTCTTCAATTTTGCGGCAACCAAAGTCCACGGGTATGCAACTCCGCAGTACCCGAGCTTGCCCAGGTCTTGCGCAGACAAGTTCTCCGTCTTACCACCCTCAATGATGTTGGCAAAGACAGGGAAGTCGAGATCGTTTCTCAGGCGTTCCATGGTCTCGCGATCGGGGAGCGCCTCAACAAAGACGGCATCCACTCCAATCTCAATCGCCTTCCGAGCTCTGGTGAGAGCTTCGTCGTATCCGTGGATGAGACTATCGGTCCGAGCCATGATCCACATGTCCACCCCTTCGTCTCTGGCATCAACTGCGGCCTGCCATCGGGCGTAAGCCTCGCTTCTACAGACCACGCTCTTGCCAGCAGTGTGGCCGCATCCTGAAGAACTTTTAGATATATTCAATTTCTTCATCACCGGTGATGTTGGGTCATACTTTTTGGCCAAGACTGGTCCTCTATCATGATGCCAGCAGCTCCTGCGGCCGCAAATCTACGTAGATACAGTCAGCATGATCACCAAATTGGTTTCCAGGTGGGCGAAAATCAAGCTTACCCCTCAACGGTCCTCTTCACATTCATCGGGCCGCCGTATCCAGTATCACCATCCACAAGGACGGGAACTTTGACTTCTCTGACAACTTCCTGAACCTTTGCAGCAACTTCCTGGAAAGCTATGTATCCAGTATCTGGGAGGCCAAAAGCAGAAGCCATGGCATACCCAGCCAGGAAGACCAGAGGGAAGCCAGCCTCTTCACAAAGTCTTGAACTCAAGGCATCGTAGCTGCATACGTGAGCAAGGATCTTGGAAGGGTCTTCGTGCGCCTCTTGCATCATGGCTCGAATCTTGGTTGCCTGGAGGGACGGAATCCCTCCACGACAATTATCTAGTTTCAGTATTGCTTTCTTGTCGCTTCTATCGATGGTCGGACCATTGCTTGCGTCGAAGTGAAACGGGTAGGGAGTGGTGTTGACGATGGACCTAGACATTTTGACTGTGGGGAATCGTTTGATATGAGACTTCTTGGTACCTAGCAGGCTATCGATATTGATATTGTTGTCAAGCTTGCATGATTCTCTTCGTCAAGCGATTTTCCTAGCTTATATACACAAACTCCCACACCTCACCACCATCTATGCAGCACCTCTTAGAGCTCCGGTTATCGGAGTGAAAGACTTGTAGCATTCACAGTCAGACCAATTTTCGAAGCCTCAAACGATGAGAAGCTCGCCGTGTGACACTCGACTTGTGCCCGAATCGCACTGTCCGATGGAACAGTATTTCCGAGTGCCGAGAAGAGCAAAGTTCGGGTGATGTCAGCGCAGACAGCGAAAACGGACCGAAGCGGATAATCACGGACTGTCACGGGCATTGGCGCTATCTAGCGGATCGGAGCGGGGTTCTACGGCAGTTGTTACCCTCGCTTCACCAAACCTCCAGACCACCAGCATCGAGAGCGGACACCCGTTTTTGTATCCTGAATCTGCCAATAGGCTCATTGAGTAGGGGTAAGAGAAGATGACAAGCAACATTTCATGAATGATTGGGATGTTCGGGGCTGACTTGTCCAGCACCCAGTCGAATCTCCTATCCTGACTTAATGCTTGTTGCTTGACTTGACTCACCATGAGCGATGAGCCGGGAAATAAGGCCATCACAGGGCCGTCCTCAGTCGGATCACCACGATTCAAGCGGACATACGTTGCTTGCGACACCTGTAGGTCTCGCAAAGTGAGATGCATTATGGGAGGTGAGCCCCCTTGCGCCAAATGCAAACGTGAGCATCGCGATTGTCGATTCGATCGACGTCCGAGAACCTCGAAGCACAGGGATCCGCCAAATTGGAAAAGTAACCGGCCGGCTGAGCATGCTATCACGCCGCAGCCTGCTAGCGTCAGTCGAGCCAAGTCACCACAAGACGTTGATACACCAGTACAAGAAAACATGCCATCAGCGGCCCCTCTATCTAGAGCAGTCAACCAAGACCTTAGAAGCGGGTGGCGTCAAAGTTCTCTTCGTGATAGTTCACTTTCAGAACGGGTTGTCTCCAGTCTTGTGACTGGCTCTAATGATGCTCTTGATGTGCTGTCCGACGCCGCAAATATACTTCACCATGCTACAGTATCACCATCCTCTGGTCCCCCTTCAGCACCGCCAACACACGCCGTGCAGGATGTTCCCGTTGCTGTACCCGCCAGAGAACAAACAGGAGGTCAGATCGGGGTGGGTTTTGTCATTCAGGCTCTATCTGAACCAGGCGACGATACCCTCGATATGTGGGACAAGTGCAGATTCGTCAGACAGGGCTGGTTCACATCGCAAGAAGCCGTCACGTACATCGATCTGTAAGGTTCAACTCTTTGGGCTCAGTGCAGCCAATTCTCACTCACATCGACTAGTTTCTTCAAATATCTCTCTCCACTATCTCCTATCATCGTCGACCAATTCCGGAACCACAATGCTCACTCAAGCCTCGTTTATGAAGAATCCATGTTATGTTGCACTATCCTAATGATTTCATCTCGATTCTTCCTATTGCCGGGAGCAGGCGGCATTTCCAGGAGTCAGTTGATACATAACCGACTTTGGCAATTTTGTGAGCTAATGATCAAACGCATTATTCTGGGTCAAGAAAAGATTTCCACCGCCAAGATGAGAATAATCGGCACAATCGAGAGTCTGCTGCTCATCTCCGACTGGCACCCTCGAGCCATTCATTTCCCTCCGGATACAGAGGGCTGGGATGCTATGCTGATCGATCTGGATTACGACCGAGAGAACCGGAGACGAACTAACGATGAGGAACCCCTCCTCCGTTGGCGCAAGGATGTTTTTGAGCCTGCGAAAAGAGCGAGCAGGATGTCGTGGATGCTCCTGGGCCTTGCGACGAATCTTGCCTACGAGCTTGGAATATTATCAAGCGGTCAACGCGCAGACTATACGGCGTCAAAGGTTGCAGATTGTCGCAAGTTTCGAGCTCGAAAGCTGCTTTATGCCTACATGACTCAAACCGCAACGAGACTTGGGTATAGCTCCGTCTTCCCCGAGAGTGTGTCCATTGCAGCCTCGAGATCTTCGATGAAAGACATGGACCATTCTTCACAGGCCTCATGGGCATCGTACATGGATATCTACCTTGAGTTCACCCGTCTCTCAAAAGTAGCTTCGTCAATGTTCTTCCAATCTGTGGAACATTTGGAAGGCTTACTTCAGAGCGATGGCTACCCAGATCTGTTGGATCATTTCCTGAGCTCTCTTAGCAACTGGAAGGTCTCATTTGATGCAGACTGCAAAGGTTTGTTGATCCATCCCCACAACACTTCAGATGGCTAAAATGGATGTTCATCATAGCTGGGCTGTTAAGAACATCACTATCTATCGAGTACTACCACATTAGAGCTTGCATAGGTGCCATATCAATACAGGCAGTCGTACGAAGAGCTGCGACAGCCAGAGCACATGGAATTGAGAAGGACAGTCTAGCCGGCTATATGACGGCCCAGGATGCTAGATTTCTGCAAGAGGTTGTGTCGGATAGCAGTGAAGTGCTACGCATTGCCACTCGGACATCTTTTCAGTCACATCTTGCATATGCGCCAGCAAGTGTCAGGATCAGCGTGATATCTGCATCCGTCTTCTTGTTAAAGGCCCTCAGTCTCGGATCACCTGCGACAGATGCTCCTTCAGCCCTACGGACGTTAGATCGATGTGTGACCGCGTTGGGAAGGTACCCGCCCGACGACATGGATTTTGCACTGAGATACGCCCATCTCATTGAGCAACATACCAAATTCCTGAAGTCAAATCTCTTCGTTGTATCTGTACCCCAGAGAGCGCTCAACGATACCCAAGACAGCCTGAGTGGATTTGGACTCACGCTGCCAACTCTTCCGCCTGATCAAAGTACCAACGATGGCGTGTCTACGGATCAGAACGGGATCTGGCGGGCTCTGCAATTTGACTCCAGCATTGCTCCTTTCAGTGACAACACAGATCAGCTTTACCAGGGGTTCGACATCGACTCACTCAACTTTCTATGGAACCTCCCAGATATCAGTTAGAGATACACGGCCAAACAGCTTATACGTGAACCATCCGTCTGAAAAAATGTCACAGTGATCTCCGCATGCTTTAGTGTCAGCTATTACAATTTACAAGGCATCCGTGACTTTCCGTGTCAAGCCGCGTTAGTCCGTCGATGTCCGTTAAATCTTGCCAGGAGTGTCCAAGATTCTCCGTCGCCTTGTCGGCACCCGTATTACCTAGTCCGCTGAGCTGCGCCCAGCCATCGTAGAGCCTTTTGTCGCCTCAAAAAGCCCATCATTGGCGTGGCTAAACTACGCGTTCCCGGCTAAGCGTTCCATAGATCTTTCAAAACATGTCACGAAGACATACATGTACACTAGCGAGCGGGTGTACTAACGCAGGATAATGCGGGGAAACCTGGGCAATCCCTTAGATACTCTGGAGTGCAACTACCTCGTTGATACGTGTTCTATATAAGAAGGGGGACTAGGGATTCTTTGGCAGTCCCGACAATTATTCAACTGAGAGTCTGGGAGCTATTATTCCATATCCGGATACGTATGTATACCTTTTCCATCAGGGAATATTCGACATGGCCACTTCCAAACAGCCTCATCTTGAGGCGCTCGCGTCTACATCTGCACCCAAAGTAGATGAAGTTGCCCTATGTCAGCATCTGGAGTTGAGGGCGGTACCGAAATCCCATATCGACACATCAGAGACTGATCCCGCGGGAATCTACGGGAGCCTAATCCCGGCTGAAAAAAGATTGGTACGGAAGTTGGACTGGATCATCTTGCCAGTTCTTTGGATTATGGTTGGTACACCGTACTCATGGTCTAGTGTAAAAATCTCACAATGAACGCTGATCGTTGTATTATCTTATCAGTACTGGTTCAAGTAAGCGTACCAGTAGGCGTGCGCTCAAGCAGAAACTCTTCCTGACCATCTTCACGATAGTTACCTCGATCGAAACGCCGTTACCGTAGCCCGTTTAGATGGCATCGAGGAGGAGCTTAGTCTGACCTCGGTTGAATACCAGACCTGTGTTTCCATACTCTTTGTGGGATATATCCTAGGACAAATTCCGAGTAGTGCGGTCTAATCCCCCTTTTTCTTCCAGGCGGAATTTGACAAAGATCAACAGACATGCTGATAACACGAGTCAGGCCCTCACGGTTCATGGCTTCAGCTATGGCCCTTTGGTCAATAGTCAGCACCGTGACAGGTTTGACGAAAGACTTTAAGGGCCTGCTTTTGACTCGATTCTTCCTTGGCATCACGGAAGCGCCGTTCTACCCCGGCGCTCTGTATCTGCTAGGAATCTTCTACACCAGAAAGGAGATTGCAACACGAATTTCCATACTCTTCACAGCTAACATATGTGGCACTGCTTTTGCTGGTCTCATAGCCATAGGAGTCTTCCAAATGGACCAGGTGGCTGGCCTAAGCGGATGGCGATGGTTGTTCATACTTCAAGGCATCATCAGCTTTATCGTTTCGGTTTCATCGGCCTTTCTGTTGCCTGACCAACCTCTCGACACTCGCTGGCTCAGTGAAGAGGAGAGAAAGCTGGCGCAGTCCCGAGTTGCAGCTGATACAGTCCAACTTCAAGCGAATACCAGCACTTGGGCCGGTCTTTCTGAAGCCATTCGGGATCCGCGTCTTTGGGTTCTGGTGACTATGCAGCATTTGCATCTTAGCGCATCGGGTTACAAGAACTTCTTCCCAACTATTGTCGAAACGCTGGGTTTCGGCCGAAACGTAACGCTCGCCTTAACATGCCCCCCCTACATCATCTCCGGTATTGCAACCATATCATGGGCTGCTAGCTCAGGTGAGGTCATTGAGCAATCGTACGTGCGCACTACTGACGAATATCGTCAGGTCACTTCAACGAACGAGTCTGGCACATTACCATTGCCAAAGCTGTCGCGGTTTTTGGCTTCGTGCTAGCTTGTAGTACTTTGAATGTCGGTGCGAGGTACTTTGCTATGTGCACCTTTGCAAGCGGTGTCTATGCATGTAACTCTATCATTCTCGGCTGGGTCTCAAGCACCTGTGGCCAAACGAGGGAGAAGAAAGCAGTTTCCCTCGCCTTGGTTAACACCATCGCCACCATCGGTTCTATTTACACCCCAGTAAGTCACCGCCTCTCTATTCCATCTCGAATGATTCTTGGCAACCTCCCTGACTGTTTTCAGTATCTCTGGCCAGAATCAGACGCACCTCGGTATACCACGGCTATGCTGTCCAGCGCTGCATTCTCCGTGGCAGCCGCGGTCATGGCCTGGATTCTGAGATGGATGCTGATGAACGAGAACCGAAGACTACTGCGCACAGGCAACCACACCACGCTTCTGTTTAGCTACTGAAGTCAAAAGACAGTGTTTCTGATTAATCAGACAACGATATCACTGGCGCGGTGCTGTACGTTAGAGATCACCGTCCTGGTTATGGTCAACTTCGAATACCAGCACGGTGCAAGCAAGAACGAGAGCTCAGTACTGCCTTCATCGAACAGTGATAGTATACTAGATTGTTGATTCTTTCTAAGGATCTAGTCAGGTTTCAATGACTTGTGCACCCAGCGATAAACCCAATGATTCATCCTCTAGAATGTACAGGGGCAGTTTGGACCACAGAGGTTCTTGCAGTAGCCAACGTTGTCTCCACCCCAGCATACGCCAGGCCTTCTTTCGCACGCCGCTATGCAAGCTGTATGACATCAGTGAGAGTCCATTGAGGGAAAAGTCAAAGTATTCATGTACAGTTGCACTCCTATCGAGCATGGGGTATCAGCGGGTTCCTCTTCAGTCAAGTCTCAGTTGGGCATTGCATGTTCACTTACAACCTGCTGAGCTACTGCCTGAGAGGCAAGAAGGCCGAAAAGAGCGAGAACGGCAGTAGATGAAGGGAATTGCATTTCGATAGATTTTGGATATTCGACTGTTATGTTGGGTTAAGATGAACTAAGCAATCGACCTTAAGTAAGAAGAGATGCTGGGCTTTTGCAACATTTATGTGTACTCTTGAGGAGGCGACCCATATTTCTTGACAAACCTGAAGATGGAAATATCACCCCGTCACCGATGGAGAAGCCCATGTGCCAAGACTTCGATTAATGATCAACTTCGTAGAAAAGACGGCCGACAAATACCTCCCGGTGACCGAAATTCGGTATCGAAGACAACGAAAACGCCCGAATTACTGCGCCCGGTTCCAGCCTTTCCATGCACATAGGTGAGCCCAAGATACGGTTCATATATCAAGCAAAGCTTCTTATATGAGATTGCAGGTTGGCTGGGTTAACGAGTCACGGCGACCCCATACTGCGGACTCCAGGAGCATGCTTCATCCTCGGTTATCAATCTTGGTAGCGTCCCCTTGCACAAAAATTCCTCAGATGCTTCTCTATATAATTGCCCGTACGATCACACGTATAGCTGGGCAGAGCCTACGCGGGTTTCGAGCCATGTTCCTCGGTACTTGAAGAGCTAGTACGGACCTTGGTCCAGATCGTAACCCAACTTAGCGATACGATCACAGTGATTGCCATGCTACAAAGTCTTTGACCTTAGGTGGCCGTAAGCTTTGGTGCTTTGATCAAGGTAGGGGAGTTGCTATTTCATGAAGAGCGATTAGGGGGCTGGCAGAAAGACAGATGCTAGCGGAGTGTCGGCGAGACCCGTCAGGTCTTTACCGGTTGTTAAATTGAAAGCTCGGTAAACCACTTCTTTCCGTACGCAGTATTTTCCCGTCTTGACACACCCAGTAATAAGTAGTGTGTAGTTTGATGTTTAGAAAGCTAGTCATTTGCCCGTAATATGGATGGCTCCGTAACCGCCACTTTGCCTGTAGCACCGCCATGATCGTGTGTGGTACCCCTGTTGAAGCTTAAATCAGACGCTGGAATTCAAGTGCACAGACCAAAAGGTACTGCGTACGGAGTAGTGAATACGGATGCAGAGTAGCAGAGGTGCTGACCTTGGCTGTGGAGAACCGCGAAGGTGAGAAGGTGGACCGTGGAAGGTACCTGTCTACGGTTGCAAAAGTGGCTCAGCTGCGCGACACGTGACACTGACGCCACTCCCGCGTCTCGCGCAAGGCGAACCTCACCTTACATCACCAGCCTCATCAGCCTCGTGGTACCGCGCGCTCTTGACTCGATTTCCTTCTATCCGGCATTATCACCAATACCTCTGCTCTTCACGCGCCGCGATCACAATGTCGACGACTGCACCAGAGACTGCCGAGCAGGCGCCCACCGCGCCCAACACGCAAGAGACGACGACCGATGCCGCCGCCGCCCCAGCTGATGCCGCGGCTGTCCCCGAGGCAGTTGCGCCTGGCCCAGAGCCCAAGGCCATTACCCGCAAGGACATGTCTCTTCGCGAGTTCTTGACCAAGATGGACGACTATGCTCCCATTGTAAGTCTCAACAACAATTTGCAGGGGATCGAATACCGACTGACAGCTTTCACCTGCTTAGATCCCTGATGCAGTCACAAACTACTACATGACCAAGGCCGGCCTCCCCCCACCACCGCAAACCGACCCGCGCCTGGCGCGCCTGCTCGCCCTCGCAACGCAAAAGTTCATAGCCGATATCTCTGCCGACGCATATCAGTACAGCCGCATTCGCGCCTCAAACTCCAACGCCAATAACCCCATGGGCAACCTCGGTGCTGCGGCGGGATTCCCCATCCCGGGCCAACCCACAGGTCCAGCCGGCGCAAAAGACCAAAGTCGCGGAGGACCTCTTGGTATTCAGAGACCTGGCTACGGCGGTGGTGGACAGGGCGGCAGCCAGAACAGGACCGTTCTTACCATGGAGGATCTCGGCATGGCTGTCGGCGAGTACGGAGTCAACGTCAAGAGAAGCGAATTTTATCGATAAGGGAGGTTGGTCAGAGCAGCTGGGAGCTGCCAATATTTCTTTGGGCTGGTGTGCATATACCACGGCGTTGGGCGGACTTGGGTATGGCGTCAACGGGGTTTCACATGACCGGGAGGTTCGGCTTTGGACGAGCAC